AAACTATTTACATTCCTTTGAAAAATGTTCGATAATAACAAAATAAATATGAAACGAATTCATCCATTTAATGCTGTAACAAGTAGAAATGAAAAATAAGGAAATTTTTATTATGAATTCTATTGATCTCAAATGTAAACTATAAAACTGACAGAAGTTTTCTTTTTATTTATTTTATTAGAAAATCTTGTTCTCCACGGCACATTTTTACACTTCCCTGAACCTATTCAACAGTCAAATACTTGTAGCACGTTGTGTTTATATATCGTGAATTCGATATATATTCTTTAAAATATTCTTTAAAGGATTATAACGAACTACGGATATGAAAAGAAGTAAATTCAGGGGCCCGCATGACTTTGCCATTGTAGAGATTTACTGCATAAGAATGAATCTATTTTAAATCATGAACTCACATCTTGAAAAAATATGACATCTCTTTATTTACCGCCGTTAATTTGCTTATCGTGAATACAAATGAACATTTTAAGCAGCATTCCCAGCGTACGTTTCTAACTCATTGTTTTAACTAAGCAATGACATGATGTTTTTAAAAAAAGGATATTATATAATCTTGATGCATAAATAAAACTTCGAAAATGGCTGTTCCTAGCAGTATACATGCTTGCCCTTCCATGAACAAAAGAAATTTTGAAAAATTATTTCTTGAGAATGAAAGAGAAGAATAATCTCCATGCTATTTGAATTATAACAACAAATAGAACTTGCCTTTCTATAACATCCAAATCCTGGTTTGCTCGACTTGTCAATATAAGTACTCTGAAGCGCAGGGGTTCTACCAATGAGAATTCGGAGGCAAGTACTCAGCGGCCAACCTCTTAGAAAACCATTGGTAGCGATGTTCGGCAGATGAGATAGAACTGACGCACTTCAATAGCAGGTTCTTTCATACACCAACTGATGTTCTTGTCTAGGAATTATCTATCGAACCAGTGAAAATGAACAAATCTGAATTAATTTGATTCATGGGTTACAGGTAAGTCATGCTTTCTAATTAATCTTTCCAAAATTAGATTGCTAACAGTTTATTAATAAGCAATTCAAATTAATTAAATAGCCGTCGGTATGCACTTTATATGTACATTTTGGGAAGAGAAAAAGAATCGAAAAAATGAAGAAGAAAAAAAATTCTATTAATTTTTGCATCAAACCAGATGTAGCAAAAGATTTTTTTTTTATTTTGTTATTTTGGGAATTGATATATGAAAAGTTCTTTTAGTATTCTACACAATGCACTGTGTCTTGTATTATGTCAATTGAAAGCACTCTTTTCGAATATTAAGTTTTAAATCATTATTTTTTTTTTTGGTTAGGTGTCGTCAAAATAGTATTGTTCAAGTTTCATTATCATAGTAATATAAAAATAATCACCGGTTAATATTGCAGGGAATTGAGGAAAAAATGAATTAGTTTTTTTAATTCATTAAAGCAAAAGAACGCAATCTAGAAATAAATCAAATTACATTCTTTATTATGAACAAACATTCTTTTAAAAATGTATTTATAAGCCTTGAACGTACTTTAGACATTATAATGAATTGTATTTGATACTCATTCTTTTCGTAATTTCTTTTTTTTTCAGATTTCAAAAACCCTCATGACGCATGAAAATTCTGAAAAAGATGAAATTGATTAAGACAACAAAAAGCTATGAAAAAGGTGTCGGTAATTTGACAACCTCAATTCAAGGAGGAGACAAATTTTAACAGTGGAACAGATGTAGTGACAGGCCTCATCCATCGAGGTATCCAGTTACAGGGCAAATCGACAAGGAATAAATGACACATGATCACAGCGTTTGTTCTTGATAAAAAGATCCATAAATGCTGTAATTATAAATCTTTACGTAAAGTCTCTGCATGTTTAATTATGACACGCAGCTGACGGTCTTATTTGATTTTATATTGACGACTTTGAAAAAAAAAGTCCTTGTTTAAGTTTTATCTAAACTTGCAGTTGAAAAAAAAAAAAGTAGCCTGATAAGTACCTAGGAGAGGTGTGCGGAAACAAGTATGGAGTCTACCAACATATCTATTGTTGACGCTGTTAACTTAACAGATGGAAATTTTACAAATTACAGCAACAACGAGCCGGCCAGCGCAGCTGTGTTGCGTGTTGTTGTTCCTATCGTATTTTTTATTCTGATGCTTGTTGGAGTTGTTGGAAATGGACTACTTATATACACTGTTTTCGCCAACAAATGCATGAGGAACACACCGAACATTCTAATAGTGAGTCTTTCTATCGGGGACATGGTGTTATTGCTTATGTCAGCTCCCTTTTCTTCAATGTACTTCACCTTGAGCGAGTATCCATTTGGAGTGGTGGTCTGCAAAGGAAATGAATACTTGCAAACCCTGTGTGTCGGTGTATCAGTGTTCACGCTAACGGCTCTAAGCGGCGACAGGTTCTTTGCAATCGTGTTTCCAATGAGCAAACATAAAGGAAAACCAAGACTTAAGATAGGAATAACTGTAGCCTCGATTTGGATTTTATCAGCTCTCTTTGCAATACCAGAAGCAGTAAACATGAACATAGTCGTTTTTGAGGGTAAAAAATATTGCTTTGATGATCAGGTATTTATGAGGGTTTTTACAATGGTCAAGTTCATCGTTCTGTTTGTAGTACCCCTCTTAATAATAGCATTTTTCTACTGTATGATGGCGATTATACTGGTGACAAGCAGTCGTCGAATTCCTTGTGAAACAAGTACGGGCTCGGTCGTTTCCCGCCAACAAAAGAAGCAAATGGAAGCTAGAGTCAAGGTCGCAAAAGTGGTGCTGTCATTTGTATTCTTATTCATACTTTGCTGGCTGCCGCGATACGTGTTTCTGCTTTGGTTCCATTGGTCAGGTGATGACGCAGAAGTTACTGTATTCTGGGTAATCTTCAAAGTGATTGGATTTTGTCTCATGTACGTTTATTCCAGTATAAATCCGTATGCGTTGTACTTTTTGAGTAGTCAGTTCAGGAGATATTACAACAAATATTTATTTCGCTGCTGTCCCAAGTCCTACAGGCCAATCCAACCCGAATCGGCGTCAGCCATGCTTTATAATGGAACAATTAGACGAGGGAGCACCTCAATGACCATCATCAAGGCCCACTCAGAGGTATGATTTATCTCTACAGGCGGACTAATTTTCTGCTTTTTTATGTAATTTTATGCTAAGTTTGATTCCTATGAAGTCAAAATCATAAAACATGACATTCTTTAACATTTGTAATGCTTTGGCTAACGTGTTCGATGACAAAATTTATACACTTTGGATTTGATTTTTGAATAAAAATATGAGTATGCTAATAATTAAGTAACATTGAAGCAATATTTTCCTAATGTTCTATGCGATTTGTTTTCTTTGTACAAAATCTTTTAAAGGTTTCTTCCTCATATTGAAAATAACAACTGCATTTTTTATTTGATATGATATAAAATAAATGAGATTAACATATGTACATTTCCTGTAAACAGAAACTGTTCAAGTTAAATCTCGACGATGAAAATTCTATATATTTTTTTTTTATTATTTCAAGATAGATTTTTGGGAATTTGTTTTGCTTTATCATAAAATGTTTTATAAAAGTATTTTGAACTTTTTTTTACTGAAGTCTTTATGTCTTGCTAAAAGTTACTTTATCTTTGTCTTAAAAAGCAATTTTTTCTCAGTGGCTCTACTCTTGATTTCTTATGAGTGCTTTATTAAGTTAAAGCAAATTTTCTAGGCTAAAAGGCTTTCTGAGAAAAAAAATTAAATACATATTTATGATTTTTTTTTTACCTCATTGAATTTTTAGCATCGCATGCCACAGGAAACTAATGTATCTTTTGTTTTGCCTTAAAGAGCTAATTTTTAATTTATAACCTGGTAATTGCAGAAAGAAAACTTTTGAGTTACACGCCAAAATGCAGACGGGACCTACTGATGACGTAAAAACAGATAAAATGCACGTGTACTGGACCTCAGTGTTATTCGACAAAGTGTGATTGATTTTTCAAATGATGTCGTATATTGTAATACGAAAATATATCGAAAGTGCAATATTTGTGTAAAGAGACTAGAATTGCTAGTCATTAAAAAAGTTGGTGCATATTATTGTTTTAAAATAATAAAAATAGCTATTTCTTGTTGTTTGTAACCTAATCCGTCAGGCCAGTAAGATCGACCTCATTTTAGATTTTCTGTCGTCATTATTTATAAAAGCATGAGGAGAATAACCATTTGAACATTGTATATTAAATATTAATCTATCGTTATTTTCAATGAACATTCAGATTTGACCAGAACAGTTAATGTGTTTTGAATGGCTTCAGGTTGTTATTGTTTGATTAGTAATATCATTATGTTTTCAATGTGATATAAATGTTGATAAAAATATTTCCTTGTTATTCTTTATATATTGCTAAATTGAATTATTGTACTTACCTATGGCATGAATTCTTTTACATATAAGTCTCTCTATTTCTTAACATAACATAGGATCAGATATATATTGTGGCATTCACATTCCCCCTTTAAAAACAAAGGAAATGAAAGTACCCCCATCAGACAAAAAGATCACTTTAACCAAACTCCCTTGAAATAAATTGTTGCCTACAATATTTACCCCATCCCAAAAATTCTCGGATCTACATTTGTTGAACAAAATAATTGTGATAGAAAGAAAATACAAAAATTCGTCCTAGGACAATTATTCGTCAACTCTAATCATTTTGTTTAGTTTGTTTTAAAGTATGAAGAAGGAAAATCAAATCGTGTTTTAAACCAAATCACTGTGATTTTTTAAGTCATTGCGCAGAACATAGAACAAACATGGATTTTTTTAATTGATACACAATGACTGAAAACAAAGTAAAACATAATCACGTAAGATATAGAGATGTCATTTTCTCTTTTGATCGCTTCCAGGACGACTGCTGAAATACAAAAATGATTTTAAACAAATTGCAGGAAAATTCAGATACATGTCTGCCTATAATTATTTGCATTTGTTAAAAAAATCGTGGCTAAACTTTGAAATACATGCTGAAAGTCTTACAACAAAATAATTCTTGCTTTTGACGTGATATTCTTACTTGATAATCACAAAAAAACGGTGCATTATCTTTTGCTTCTAGGAAATATGGTTTCCTTTGCTTGGCAAAAATTGTTCCATTTTAATATTGCGTGTATAATAGATTCGACAGAACCAAACCATGGGGCTAGCAGAAATAGTAATTAAGAGAAATTACGTCATCAGTGTTTTTGAATCTGCAATAGAGGTTTCTGTTTTTGAAATATTACTTTGCTTCTTTGTTAGGCAAACTATTTGTTGAAGTAATTAGGAAGGGGTGTGTACGAAATAACATTAAGTGCGTGTCTCAGTGGAACATTTGATACGTTAACAGTCCTAATTGGTAACATGCTCACAATTTCAGGTATTTTTCATAGAAACCCTCTCCACATCTTCAAAATTATCATTTTATAGTGAAACATTGGTTAAAATTGAATTATTTTTTCAAATGCTGCTTCAGATAGTTGCAAGATTTATAATACAAAGTATCATATAGGCCTCAGTATTTTCACGTTATGATTACGGAATCGCCCCCATGACAAGTCGCCCCAAACACTTCTTAAAATAACTCACCCCCCCAATTTAGGACAACTCGCCCCCACTATTTATTTTCTTGTGAACTGCAAGGAAAAAAAAATCTGTTATTCAAAAATGTATATTTTATGATTACGATACCCCGCATCTATGGCAAGTGATGATGCCGATCATAACCGCAGATGATGCACATATCGATAAATATTCAATATGAAAAATAAGATTGTTGTGTTTTTAGCAGCTGTAACAAATTCAAAACCAACCATCCACGACCACAAATTGATCGGCCACTATTGCGGTAGATAATCGGCTGATAATCAATAATGTAATATTGCAGGTAAATGGAATGTTGGGGGCTTTATTTGTCTAATAATATGTCGTTATCTATTGTAACTGATATAACCATTTTTTTCCAATTTCACGGATTATACTTGTATCCACATTGTTCATTTTATTTTATGAAATAAAAAATACATTTACTGGTGAGGGATATGGATATAAAATTATTCAACATCAGTGTGATAAATATAACCATATTCAATATCAAAATCCTATATATACAATACAAAATAAAGAAGCAAACACGGACCTCTTAAACATCTTAGGATATTTGCATATTGACATACATGTATTTGTATTTGTCATGATCGAGAAATAACGGAAGAAATCGTCGACAATTCAGTGTATAAATAATGGACTAACAATTAGTATGAAAAATGTCAGTCAGCATTTGACTCAATGATAAATTGTATTTGCTGACAAGGTCATTGAATCGACCAAAGAACTTAAGAAATGATGACTTAAAACGAGATTGCTGATATTCTTATATTGCTCATCCATCAAATTTTGTAACTCATAGCAATAAAATAATAATATAGTTTCCATACTATATGCAAAAATATCTCTTTTCCGGAGTGACAACAAAATATTGGTTTGAGTTTAGCTGCCCGTCTATCATTATACCATGCCTTGTCATTAATTCAGAACCTTTGGCTTGTCTATGACCTACTAGCATATTTTAACGTGTACTACGTGTCACGTGTCACGACACCTAAGCTTGATCAGTGATAACAAGATTGTTGTTCTATTTACAATTTTATATAAAAACAAATATGTACAAATATACAAAATGAAAATTAAAGCATAATTTCCAAATGTCTATTCCTGTTCGTCTGGGACCACGTTCCTACAGCCGTCCACGTCCATTCCCTGTGTTTAACGGTCCATGACCAACGGGTACCATGCCCTTGCACTACATGCCACAACGTCCTCGACGTCCCGCGCCTATCCAACACGTCTTAAGCGTCTGCAGTGCTGACAAATCCAGGAAACCACGTTTCCCCACACACGGTCTCGGCCTAGCGTTCCACAACCTCGTGTAGTCGCCCAGGTTGCCACCACCGACAGCACCAAACCATTGTGTAATCACACTAACGTACATGTATCTATGGGGACCTTCAACAAATATGCGTAGACAAATATAAGCTTGACCCCAGACGGGCTGCCTTACAACACATCATAAATGTTTACACATATAATTGGTCAAACATACAGTTTTAACTAATATAAAATCGCACCGTTTCGTAGGCAAAGCAAAATAATGTATAATATAACGTTACACTCTGAGTAATATACTAAATATCATTACTTTACGCTTAAACTCACGGCATGTGCACGTGGTAAAATTCCCGTATACAATTCAAACACTTTCTCTCGTGGAGAAAAATAGCTATAAGCTCAATTAATATAACACTGCATTACTTTTCAATATAGTAAATGTAAGTAAATTGCACTTACCCTGATTGGAGATTCAGTTACCACGACTACAACTATCTAACCTTCCATGGACATAAATGTGAAACTACTCTCACTGGTCAAGGAAAACATGCGCTACCCAAGACAAACCTGACATCACCTTATACGAGGGGTGATCAAAAAGTTCGCAAACTATCTCTATATCTACAAAATCACAATTCAGATTAGAATGAAATTCGGTACACACATAGCCATACACAAGATCTATAAATAGCATATATGCTGAATAAAGTATTTCTCCTTGTTTGTGACGTCACAATGTGAAAATTACGTCACTATTTAGGTCACTTGTGACGAAAAATGGTTGAAGGTCGAACTCGTTCAACAAACGACTGTACAATTTATTGTAATATCAAATTGCAGTATCATGTAATAATTTGTACACAGTTTATAGAGATAAATGAGTTCCTATAAATTCAATTAATGATTGGATTAATCGTTTTAGCGAAGGAAGGCTGATGGTTAAAAATGATACTTGTCATTTTGCGCAGTGAAAGCAAGTTTGAAAAGATATGTATTTTTGATTAAACACCCAATTTTATGTTAACGCCCCCAAAATCTACCTGATTCAAGATCAATAATTTACCGCCTGTCAATCATTAAAAAAACAATAGCTTCTGTTTTGATTGACAGGCCAGCTACCTTGTGCTACCTGATAATCTGAGTTTGCATGTTATGAAGACAATTGCCTGGTCACGCGTTAAACACTTTCATGTACCCGCCTTGTATACACGAGGGTTAAAAAACCCAGTAATGTTGGTAATTTTAGATAAAAAAAAATGAGAGCAGATAATTTAATTAAAGACTGAATTCATAAAATATTTGTTTTCAATCTTCAGTTACAAGAATATGTCGTCCGAGATAGAATTAAGACCGTCCACGGAAACTATAATTTCAAACTTTACTTGCCGTAAGTGGAAGTCCATGTACCGTTTAACACTGTTAAAATTATAATTAAAAAATAGAATATAGTAAATAGGATATATGAAATATTCAGCAATACCAGCATGGTATTCAAACGATGTTTTATCTCTGTATATTGGATACAATCTACGCGATGTTAAAGGAGATATTGTAAAGAAAGAATGGAATTATTTCTCGAATTTTCTCTGACATTGTCTTTTTTCGTAATGAAAAGAGGCTAACACAGTAATCGATCTTAAAAGGATATATTTCAAACATTAAAATTTTGTTAGCGCATAAACACTGGGAAATATTGTATATCTTGAACAATATTGTTCCAGAAAATACCGGGTAAGAAAAAAATATTCCGAACGCGGTAAATGTTAACACGACGAATAAATGTTTTTTTTAATTTAAATATTCACAATAATTAAATCATGGTGATTTCTTTTATTGAAGATTTAAAAAATATAAGGATATGATTGCTTTGTAGTTTTTACTGTGACCATTTCTTTTTCTTTTTTTTTTTTTTTACAAACAAAATTATAAAAGATAGATTTCTTAATTTTTTTCCTTCCAAAGGTTACGATGAATGCGTTTAGTTTA